CGTATCATATTATTATAATATTTCTTTACTTTCAAAGAGATAAAACATTAATAACCAATAAAAATAGGAAATGATGTCTGAAATGGAAATTTCTAGCCGTCCACCAAATAGAGGGGAAAGAAAAACAGAGAAAAAGAACAGAACAACCATCAATTGAAATTCTTCCTGGTATACCTTTCGCGATAGACAATTCCCATATTCACTGCTAACACTCTTGACAAACAAGTCTTTGTTCATGCCTGCAACTCTTTAAGGCGCATGACGTAAATTCTTAGTGTTGTCTGCACTTTAAAATCCTCAAAGTACACGCTTATACATTTGTCATAGTACCAGATCCTTGATCTGACTATGAACAAGTTGTTCAATTCAGGACTAGGCGGTTTAAAATCTGATGCCTTTGACATAACAAAGTATGTTGACGAGCCGTCTTTAGATGAGCTGCTACGTGGAAGCTATAGTTGTCCCCTCATCAATGACAAAGCAAAAACTGCCTCAATTTCAAAAAGTAACCTTTTGGAAACAGTCCGAAATGCATGCTCCATTCTGCGAGCTCGAAAAGTCTCGCAGGAACAAAATTCTGCTGAGGCTGATGACAACCTTGTCCAGAGCGATTCAGCCAGCTTGGATGCTGTTATTTCTGCTGTAGGCCAAACTGATGGCGGCAAAGGAGTCAATTGCGCTGTAGAAAAGGTTTGTCTGGATTTTCTCATATAACAGCATAATATATATGCAAATAATGGATTATTATTTTTATGTGCACCATGGATTCATCTATTTTAATGATGAATGGGAACTTTGGTTTGCTAATTGTCTATATTCTATTTCTTCTCATCGGTTAGTCATATTTGTTAGATATTGTAATGCAAACTTTAGCTGTACAAAGGAGAATCATATTAACATTATTTATCGTGAGATTTTGTGTTCCATGTTTTAGATTCTAATAATTTTGGAAGGACAAGTAAGACTGAAAAACTACCTTAAAAGAAAGATAATTACCAGAAATTGAAGCTAAAGCAGAATCCCATGGAAGAGCTATGAATCCTAAAATAACCCTGAAAAAAATCTAAAGCTTTAAAACGGGATCCTAAAAACTGAGAAGGAATTCAAAAACCAAATTGGTTTCATATGATGGAAATACATTTGGTTCACACAATTTTGTCATTTTGAAATTGGGGCAAAACTTATTGATGATGATGTCATGCTTGTGAAAAGCATTGCATATGATCTATTTGATTTGGGAATCTTCATTTTGAGTTGATTGCTTCCATTTTCAAGGTTCAGGAACCTGATGACAAGACCAAAACCTCAGACACTGTTGATCCTCCACTATATAAACCCAGAGATATCTTGGAACGGCTGGCACTCCCAACGCCCAAGGATTTGGACATGTTGCTCTCTGATGCAAGCAAAGCCATTTCAACATCCAAAAATAATACTGATGCCCGTCTGGGAAAACCAGTTTCCCACCAAACGGGCCTGCCGCCTTTTCCTTGGTCCCATTCTTTTTCGGGGCATAATAATAAGTTGAGTTCTGATGCTGTTAAGTTGAACGCAAGCCGCATGATATGCCAAGGTCGATGGATAAGAGTTAAAAATTGCACGGATCTGCAGAAAGGTTGTGGTGATTTACTGAAGAACTTTGAGTCACTGACATTTGACCAAACTTTGGTTCCTATTGTATCTGAACGCCCAGAAAATGAAGCTTCTCCAATTGAAAGGGTGTTTTCTGCTTCTGGTGCTTCCTCTCGTACAAAGACTCCTACAGGTTAGAAATCTCAAATAGGGAATTGTTACGTGAGTTTCTTACTTTAACCATTTTCTGCTGCGGTTAATTTCTGTTTGCATTTAGGGGTTGATTGGTAGACGATCAAAAGCGTTTTGATCGATCAGAATCTGACTCACTCACTTTAACTCAAAATATTAACTCAAATTAACTCAACCACACTATCCTTAATATGTAATATAAATCACCTCTCTCCTAAATCACATCAATTTTAATTCACTATTCATCAACTCACATATTTTTAACTATCTGTCACTTCCATCATCTCTTATGCCTTTACATCACATCAACTTTAATATTACATTTTAAATATTATTTAATTACAATCTCTCTCGTCCCACTCAATCAACTTTATTCAAAATAACTCACTTTAACTCAAGATTCGATTTTGATTGGTTTTTACTGGTTTGGACTCCCCACCAATCACCCCTGTACTTGTTTTTCTTAGGTTAGAATTATTACACTTTTATGTGTTTATATATTTATCCTCATGTGCTGTCTTTTTGGTGACACCAGACCTAAGAATTATTACACTTTTATGTGTTTATATATTTGTCCTCATGTGCTGTCTTTTTGGTGACACCAGACGAGTTTTCTACTGATGCCGCTGCTCAAACACTCCTAGACATGGCTGATTGCTCGAAGAAAAACCCCTTTGCAGCTGTTAAACTGCCAAGGAAACCCTCTCAAATGGCCATGAATGCCAGCAAGTCCAAATCAACCGAGAGGCCCGAAAATTCTTTCCAAGCACCAAAACCGATAATAAGACCACACAACCCCTTAAAAGCCCACTTTGATGGATTTCCTTCAAAGAAGCCCAAGCTATCCACTGACATAACTAACACGCCCTACATCACTCATGCTGAGTCCTCGAGACTCGTGTCAGTCAAATCGCCGCCTAGGAAGCTCCTTAGGGACATGATTGCAAATACTGATAGTTATGGTACCAACCTTGCAAAGAAATCATACGTGTCGAAAACACCAAGGGGCGCGGACAGGGAGTCTGGTTGCAGTAAGCCTAAATTGTGGAAGTCACCCTATTGAGCTCGGAAAAGAAAAAAGTAAAATAAAGAAGGCTTGGAATCATTTGTTACAAACATGTATTCAAGGCACCGTTTTCTTTGCTCGTTAGCTTGTTTAGTTGATTGATTGTGTTGGTGCCGAGATTGTGTATGATAAAAATTGTTGTTTAGGTTCTGTGTATATTTAGTACGTCACATGTAAAAGCGATGTTCGTGTATACTTTGCGTTGGGCTCAGGTTCGATGATGTATCAATAGTTTCTTTCTTTCTTTGCCTTTCGTTTGTTAGGTATTAAGGACAAATGATGAAGTAATAAGGGGAAATTCTATTGTAGGACCTCATTTTTAGATATTGTGTCATAATAGGGCCTATATTTTTAACCTTTTCATTTGAGGGTTTCATTTTTAAATTATTCTCAATATAAGGCCTACTTTTACATTCTACTTTTCAAT